TGCGTCATCCGGTGGGGAGAGCCCTTCTAAGATGTCGCGGGCATGGAAAGCAAGGGCTCTGGCAGCTGGGTCCTCCCTTACCTCTGGCTGCTGGAGCCAATACAGTACCTCGCTGGTGAGCTGAAGATATTCGTCTTCCGTGAGGTGAGGCGTCTTTCTGCCGAGTCTGGTCATTCTGTCGTACCTCATGGCGCACGGAGCGTGGACAGAAGCTCAGGAAACCAAAAGTCGGGGCGAACTCTGGGTTTTAATAGGAACAGCAACGATAGGGACAGGCAAAACAATGGGTAACATCACAACCTCAATGACCGGACTGGGGAAACAAACAGAAACGCGGATTAAATACAATGAACTAATGACAACAAGCAGGAACAGCTGGTAAACACGGGGAATCCACATGCGGTTAACGAGGGGGCGTGGCACACAAGAGGAGCGGACGATCAGGGCATGACAGTATTGTCCATCTGCGTTTTGTCTGCCTTACCTGTAATTAAACCCCGTATTCCCCGATACCCTGACGTCTGTGTCTGCGCCGTTGTCCGTTCCATCCCCGCTGGGCATGACAATATTATTATAATTAAATGTATTAATGGTTTATTATTAATTTAAAAATAATGAATAAGAAATCTTTATTTTTAAGTGTATTTTATTATATAATAATAATTACTGTTACTGTCTATCATTGTCTAAATGTATTTTTACTGTCTAAATATATATATTAAGTTAGTGTAAACATGCACGGTGCTATCACAGCTAATGCTAGGCTGAGACTGAAGCTTTACCGCTGAGAGACGTGCCACGTGACTCATTTCCCCGTGCGTGCAAGTTATCTTAGGTCGGCGTTCACGGTTTGACTTCTGAGATTCAGATCGAGCTCTAGGTAATTTTTTTTCAAACTGGTTGGTTCGACTTTTAAGAAATCTGTGCTCTAATGAGTTCGAGAACTGAGGTACCACTGTATAAATACAATAGTGGAATTTTCTTTCCATTGAAAATGGAAGTACCTACTGTACAATGCTTTTATGGTAGTTGTGATGTTCAAGATCAGTGGTCATCGGGAATTTGAAGGACTGAATTACCCTTACTGCCACATCAATGGTTTCTAATGTCTATGGTGTATAGGAATTTTCACAGAGCGTTAAAATCTACAAGCTCGTCAAACTTGTTAGGTCATCAGGCTGTGACGGGGCTGGGGCCTGGTTGGTGCTGTTGAAGGAGTAGCTTTACAAACTGAGTGAGGTGCTGAGGCCCAGCCGTCCCTCTGCTCATCTGGCAGGTTCTGCTGTTTGTCTGGGCAAACAGCACAGCCTCAGTGCAGTTACAGCTTACCAAGATTACATTTTTATTAAAAAATTCAATTAATGATAGGTTTTTTTAAAAAACTAGTCCCATTATTTAATTTCTTTCAGTATTTATTACACTTTTATTTCATATAAAATGTACAGAAGTTGTCTTTACTGAGCAAAACCTGAGAAACTACTTCTGCAGAACTTTGCTCCTGAAGCATTTTACGAAAGAATAACACTGACTTACAGTAAGACGATGCTGATATACCATTGTTACCTGCAATCTAGCCAGTACAATTTAGCTTCAGAACAGACAAGTTTAATTGGCTATTAATTAAGCAGATGTTGAACAAACAAATTATGTTAAAAGTACTATATGTGTACATTTCAGTCTATACTAAAACATTTACATTTACAGCATTTAGCGGACTACGACATACAGTATATAGCAGAAAACGAAATATATAAAAAAATCATTGTATAAAATTATAGGTGATCTTATGTCTCTTCTGACTCTTAAACACACATTTACATACTTTTTTGAGATTCCTCTTAGCAACAATAGAAGACCAACAGTTTTATGAAAGATTATGATGGACTGGAATTAAGAAGAAAAAAAATACAAATTTTATACAGAAACATTTAACATTTTCTCACAGGAAACACTGTGACAGTGAAATGCTATATACACTGTTTTTCTTAATGGAAAATGTGAACTAGTAACATTTTAAAAATCAGTTGCACCAGTTTTCTGTACTCCAGTATTGTCTCCTTTAAATCAGGATGAGTTCACCCTGGGGTCTTTCAGGGTACAGTAGATGAGGGAGAGAGTCAGCAGGACAAAGAGAAGGGCTATCATTCTTATGATGGAGAGCCAGATGAGGATATTTATATGCGCATGACAGGAATCTGATAAGGGAAGAGATCATGATTTAATGTTCCAGTAGGTAGTGAAGTTCATACTATTAGAAATCAGTATGTGACCTGTCCATCCATCTATATCATATACAGTATCATGCACATATATCACATGCAGGGTATTGAAGAACCTTTAAGCTTTCTCAGGAAATTATGGCTATGAACAATGTAGAGAGAATTCCAGGAAATTTCCAGGAACAAACTCAAACAGCAATTCAGAGATATCCATTCATATAATCAAATCTTCTTGACCTTTGGGAGGAAACTAGATTACAAGATAGAAACTGCTGCGGAAGGAATGATAACCAGAGTACACAGACCCAGCACCAGTCACGATTCTGTCTTCCGAAAATGCATTAAAAAATAAACAAAATACTTAAATGTACATTCCATCAGAATGATACCTCCCAGTCCTCCATTTACAGTTAAGTGGAATTGATGAAAAACTGTTATGTAAGTTTATGTGGATTATAATGTAACTATGATAGTTTAAAATGAGTTAAGTTGATACACAATAGGTTTGACAAACAACAGTAAAGATTAAACATTACAACCAATAAATATGAAAGAATGAAGAACAATCAGCACAGAAACAAAATGATACCAATATAAAGATACACCTATGTTTAATGAATGTTACATTTTCAAACAACCCATAGCAGCTTCTCAGCATACAGCATTTTAAAAGCAGTAAACACTATGCTGCAAACCTCAGCATTTTCGTTAATTAAACATGTTCATCAAATTTAAACTTATTTCTAGCTTTTTTAAAAATAGTATCAGTTGTGTCATTTAAACCTTGCATTCAGAGTTTTTTTGTCACGTGCATGGTATACAGTCACGGTATACAGCCTGCAATGAAATGAAACTCATATTCATAATGCATTATAATTATGTATGGGACTTTAATGCGTTAATTTCGATTAATTACGTAAAAAATAACTAATTAAAAAAATTACACATTTAACTCCAACTTTAATTTGCACTGCAGAACGTTTCTCAGTGCACGAGTTCCAGGCATACAGATTATATTGACGCACAATGTGATGAACATGATGGGGAAGACAGAGGAGATTACGCTGGTGGATGGGAAATTTAAATATAAGAAACTTCCAGATGGAAAAATGCTGTTATTTGCACTTTTGCAGGAAGGAGTTTGCTTATCACAGGAGCACTTCCATCCTTCGTTACCACCTCAACGCAAAACGTGTTGGGGTTAGCGCACAGGTCAGTAACGTAGCACTTTATCTTGAACTGTTGGTCTGTTTGTTTTTGGCCATGGATACTTGAGGGAGGTTTTGACTGAAATGGCATCGTTTGGTTTTTCTGGTTTTTCATACACGATGTTTGAAAAATGGGAGCAGTTGAAGTCAATCGATCGGTACTTTGGACATTTTTTGGTTAAAATTTCCAGTGTTCTGAAAACTGTTTGCTCTGTGTTTTCTGCACTTATCTATTGTCCTGTGTAGCAGACTGATGGGAAAATAAGATTTTGAAGTATATTGATTAATTTATCAACCAAACTTAACTATTACCGGAATGAGTATGGAAAAACTAATATTAATGAGAATGGTATTCATATTACACATTAAATGCTTTGTGGTTGTCAGGATAAATAATCCATGATCCATGACCATATTTAGACAAAATGTCTCTATCTTACTCCAGACCAGAGTATGTGAGCGGAGTGGAGCGGCGCGTGAGCGAGGAGCGGAGCGGGCGAAATTTGGTCAGAGCGCGGAGCGGTTTTAATTAAGGCTGGAGCAGTCGCTCTGTCTCGCTCCAATTTCGCTCCGATATCGCTCACACTACGACTCTGAGGCGTGCGCAAATCTTCCCAGAATTCATCTATACAATTATCAAGATTTACATCCGCTTTGGAATCTAAAAAGACCTTTCTCGGAAACATGAGTGTGCTAAGCGAACACGCGGAGGCCAGAGCAAAATGTGAGCAAGTTTTATATGGTTGTAGCATATCAAGTCTATAAAGTAAATAAAAGTATGAAAGCCTATAATTTGGTAATCAAATAAATTAGTTTGTCATTCAAATTAGGTCTAACAGGATTTTTTTAATTCACGTAACGCTGTCAGTGAAATTTTATTTTATAGAGATAGACGCAGCAGCAGCATCAACAGAAAATAACTGAGGAATTTAAAAACGTGGATGCGCTTAGCCTGTACAGTATATTCTTTAGGCTATTAAGCCCACTGATTCCTTTATTTTAAAGCCTATTTTGTGTGGAATGCTATTGCCAAACCTATTGCCTATATGTGGTTTAAAAATAGATATTTTCTGTTCTGAGTGCCGTTGCTCACATTTCTTTATGATATAAGGCATCGGTTTAAGGTGACATTTGTTAGGCATGCAGATTATTTGTCCCTCTTTTAAATTGGAGCGAGCGTGGAGCGATTTGACTGGAGCGGGAGGAAATTTTAGTGGAGCGAGGAGCGGTGTTGAGCGGAGCGACTTAGTGCGAATTAGAGCTGAGGAGCGGGCGAAGCCAACAGTCTCGTGAGCGAGGAGCGGAAATTCTCACCGCTCCACTCCGCTCACATGCTCTGCTCCAGACATCTACCTTACTAATAGTAAATTTAAAACTTACCTTCTATGTGAATCTTTGTCCCATTGCCAAACAGCATCTCCCCACACATGGCCACAGCGCAGTAGTAAGTCCCAGCATCAGAGGAGCTGAGGTTCCTCTTGGGGAGGCTGTAGACACAGCTCCGTGTAGGAGATCCAGCCTCAGGGCTCCTCTCACACTCATCACTCCTGTTTCCATGGCTGTAAATGACTCCTGGAAGGGATTCTCCTGATCCATGTCTGAACCAGTAAACACTGTGTTCTCCTGCACAGCCCCCAGTCTCTATTGTACACTGCAGGGTCACAGAGTCTCCCGGCTGGACTGGGTCAGACACAGGATACTGCTCTACTTTACTGTATCTGTGTTGTTTTCCGGAACCTAATGAACAAATGTGTTCAGTAAAGCATTGGAATAATATCAAGTGATGTAACATGATGTTCAGTGTAGAATTTGTGTACTGATTTTCCACCAAAGATGCTTAAACAGAATCTACAAATTTGATTATGATGTAAGATTTACCCTTTATTGTAAGAAAAGTTCCAGCTCCAAACAGAATTAAGTAATCTCTTCTCGTTCCACAGTAATACATCCCTGATTCAGATGGTTCTGTCTTTAAGATTATTAAATGATTGATTTCCTCATATATTTTCACTTTGTAGCGTGTTGGGTTAAAGTTGTTGTGAAATGTTGCCTCTGAAGCAAATTTGAAAGTTGATGCTATTAGAAGAGGTCTCTGGTTGATAATTAGCTTAAACCAAAACACAGAATGAGCCTCGTCTTTGGGAAATGAACATTCCAAAGTCACATTGTCTCCGGCTTCAACTGTCAAGAGTGGACTAGGCTGAACAACAGTATTGCTTAATGCCAAATCTGAAAAAAAGAAAAATATTAGTAATTGCCTACATATTTAACCCACACAGAAGCTTTTAAAATAGTCATAATACTGTTAAAGGAACATATGTTCTTTCTCACATTCAAGCACATTCATTTAAAAGATTGTTTAGCTAATACAATGATTATTACAAAAAGTTATATTATTATGACAAATGTAAAAATGGCTTACAACAAGCATTCTCTGTTGCACTTACATAATTTGCTGAAATGAGCCAAAATTACACAGAGTCTGATCATCCTGAATGATGTTCTCCTGTGGTTTGTAGCAAGGCTTTTCTGCACACTGAATGCACCACAGATCGTAGGGTCATATGAGAGTAGGGGTGGCTAAACTGGTGTTTTTGATTTGTGGAATGAACAGTATTGTCACACCTTCCCCATCTGACTCTCTTGTTTCCTTCCTAGCGTGGCCCCATTAGTTATGCCTGTTCCTCGTTGTCTTGTCTATCGTTCCTGCCTTTGTGTTAATCACTCCAGCTACTTTCGTTTGCTCCATCGTCAGTCTTACATGAAAGTGCTCGTGTTGCCTGTGCCCAGCCAACCTCTATTCCTCCTGTTTTGATCCCCCAAGATTGTTTGTTTCTAGCTTTTTTTTCTTTTGAGTTTAAATAAAACTCCCATGCACAAATACACAGGTGAAAACTGCTACTTTTGTTTATTGGTTTGGCACTCAAACTCTGGGTGGGTCGATAGACATAGTGTAGTTTATTGGTGGTAGCATATTTCAGGTGGCCAGCTGGAATATGGGTTAAGATTGAGAAAATTGGTATATTTTAAGGTTTTAACTTACCATTCTCTGGGGAGCAGGAGGGCAAAGTCACTAGTTAAAGGACCCAAGCCCAGGTAGCTACTGGGTAATGTACTGTAGTTTGGGGGGCCTGCTCAGTAGTAATGGGATTGCCCATATGACATTTTGACAGGGGGGGGGAGTTTGAATTGTGTGATGGCCTGACATGGCCACAACAACATGTTGCAGTTACCTGGGGTGAAACGGGAAGTGGTGCATGCATTTTATTGGTCCGACGGACAAACGGCCTGGATGGTCATGGTTCCCTTTTAATCCCCATTGGCAGTACCAACAGGTGCCCACAGTAGGGGGATGAGGAGCTGGGTTGTGGCATAGTTGTTTGTTATTTCTTTGTTAACATTTTTTGATTTAGGTT